TTTAGGCATCTCTCAGATCTTCCTAAATTGCCAGAATCAGCTCTCATCTGCAAGGTAGGCTCTTTAGCCTGTCTACACAGCCCTGGATTTCTCTTGCTAAAATGCAGGTGTGACCTCCTCACTTACAGCTCTGCAAGTTTTCTGTTTGCTATAGAATAAAGTAAAATCCCTTTGGCATGGCATTCCAGAGCCTTTCATCATCTGACACTGTCCTATCTTTACAGCTTTGCTTTCTGCAGCTAGTCCTGACATGTTCACACATTTTATATTCCAGCCACTAGTCACTGTGCATCCTGGGCCTCTGTCCTGACTGGTTCTTCTCTCTCTCTCTCTCCCTCTCTCCCTCTCCCTCTCCCTCTCTCTCTCTCTCTCTCTCTCTCTCTCTCTCTCTCTCTCTCTCTCTCTCTCTCTCTTTCTCTCTCTCTCTGTTTGAGAATTGTAATTACTATTAAAGACAAAAATAGGTGCTGGGCACTGGTAATCCTAGCTAATCAGGAGGCTGAGATCTAAAGATCATAGTTCAAAGACAGCCTAGGCAGGAAAGTTCCTATGTCCCTTTATCTCCAATTAACTACCAGAAAACCCCTCATAGAACAGAAGTAGAGCTGTGGCTCCAGTAGTAGAATGCTAGCTTTGAGCAAAATAATTTTCAGAGACAGTGTCCAGGCTCTGAGTTCAACACACACACACACACACACACACACACACACACACACACACAGAGGGCTGGGCTGGGGCATAAAACAATGGTATACAGTACTTTGCCTGACATGCACTAGGCCTTGTATTGGATCCCTAGTGCAGCCTAAAAACATGATGTTATATACCAAATGTTACACATTATATATAATACATAGAATATCATTTAATTCTCAGAAAAATAAAATAATTTGCCCAAGTTAAATTAGCTAGAGCAGTAATTGATGCAGGATTTGAACTTATCTCTGACATCAAAGCTTATGATCTCACAATATTGAGAAAGTTTTCTCTGACTCCTCACAATATTTTTCTTTGTGTTCCAAAAGCAGACTTTTGTTTTTAAGTTCACAACATAGAAGTTATTGTATTATGGAGGTTAAAGAAACAGACTCTGAAGCTGGATTTCTGGAGTTAGCCAGCTATGTGAGCTTTTCTTTTTTTCTCTCTCTTTTTTTTTTTTTTGCTATTTGTGGGGCTTGAACTCTGGGCCTGGGCACTGTCCCTCAGCTCTTCAGCTCAAGGCGAGCGCTCTACCACTTGATCCACAGCACCACTTCTGGCTTTTTTGTGTGTGCTTATGTGGTGCTGAGGAATCGAACCCAGGGCCTCATGCATGCAAGGCAAGCACTCTACCACTGAACCACCTTCTCAGCCCCATGTGAATTTTTCTCTATCATTTTACTTTCTTTTTCTTTGTCTCATCCCTTTTTCTTTCTATCTTCCTCCTCCTTCTCCCTCCCCCCCCCTGCCCCTTTCTCTTTGAAATGGCAGCAATTATGCCTGTCTTTTAGGATTAAAGGGTTCTACCAAGTTCAGCCAAGTATATGCTATGTAGCCCTGGCCCCACTGAAACACTATGGTCTTTGTTATGTCTATGTATCTGTATACCCTTGCTAAATTTTGGCTTCTGAGAAGGGTAAGATCTTCATTCATCTTCCAATTCTCTGGCACCCAGCATACCAGACCTTTTACTAGTTTCTATGCTCCATAAACATTTGTTAAATTGTTTATAAATTGGGGGGGGGGATGTGTTTGTGCAATATAATGAGACATTTACAAGCGTATGATCCTTGCTGTGCTTTAATTACCTATGAATCTTCTTTTTTAAAGAAAGTGGTTATTCAATCAGGCTAGCCATCTAATAGCTTCTGTGCCTCCCTCTCCCTAGCCTCCCCTCCACCCCACTCCCCGCCCCCCCCCCCCCCCCCCCCCCCGCTTTTAAATTAAAAAACAGCGAAACAGGTCTTTGCCTTTCTGCTTCTGGGAACAGGAAGCCTTTTAACCTTCAAGCCTTTCCTGAGATCTCTCCTTTTAGAGCCAAGACTTTCCTGGGGCAGAGGGTGTGGAGCAGGAAGGGGACACCTGTCACAAGGTCCCAGACTTCTTGGACACAGATGAAGGTACTCAGCTGTAGATAAATACAAAGGCAGCCCTCTGTCCTGCTGTTCCCCTCCAGTGAGCAGTGACCTGGTCTAGAGATTTGGGTTTCACTTCCAAACACAAGCACAGTGTACCTGCTAAGGAAGAAGGCTCCAATTCCAAAAGGGGACTCAAAAGCACTGTGGGAGGCCTAAATTCCTGGGAGAGTGCTGGCTTAAGTTACTTCCCATTATTCCACTGCTCTGCTACGTGTTTGTTTATATTTCAGCCTTGGTCTTACTGGGAGAGGCTGTGGGAGTGAGGGACAGGAAAAGGATGCAAAGGACAGTGAAAATGGCAGAGAAGGAAATAACTGATTGGAGGTTAATATGTCCCCTGAGGCTCCTTTGATTTGAATTATTGTGAAACTGCAGTGTAATGTTTAAGTACTGGGGGGTGGAGGGAGGGAGGGCCCATGGCTCTTCACAGAAATGGGGCTTTGTTACTGGTAAGTTGCAGCTGCTGTGTGTAATGCAGACTCAACCAAATGGAGCACTGATCCTGTCACCTGACTGGAGAACTGTTTTTGTTCTCACAGCAGAGCTCCTGCTCATCATTACCACCTAACAACCTGGCCTATACCTCAACTAACACTTGCTGGCTCATTAGGTTATGACGTGGAGCTAGCCTACTATCTATCCTCTCTTGGTCATTAGGTCTTGTTCACTGTCCCTCCTAAAAATCACCTGAATCCATATCTTTCATCTCCACAGACACTGCCCTGGTCAGGGTTTCTTAGATAATACCTTCCTGATAGGTCATCCACAGCCTCATCTTAGGTTCCCATTCGTCCTCCAAGCTACTGACAGAGATTTCTCTAAACTAGATTAGAATCCACCTGTGACTGTCCATGGCTTGTGGAATCAAGCATACCCACCAACTCCTAGCTTAAAATGTTTGCCTGGTATCTTGACACCTCCACATCTGTGGTTTCCTTCACATCAGGAATCCTGACCTAAAAGAAATTCCAGAGCATGCTCTTCAACTGGGACTGTAATTCTAGCTATTCAGGAGGCTGAAATCTGAGGATCGCAGTTGAAAGACAGTTGGTACAGGAAAGTCTGTGACACTCTTATCTCCAATCAACCACCAGAAAACCAAAAGTGCTGCTGTTGGCTCAAAGTGGTAGAGTGCTAGTCTTGAATGTAAAAGCTCAGGGACAATGCCCAGCCTCTGAGTTCAAGCCCCACTACTGACAAATTAAAAAACAAACAAAAAAAAAAACCGAGCAAAAACAACTTGATAACCTGTACTTGCTCTTCCTTCTGCCTAGAATCCCTCTTTCCCTAATTTTAGCTTCTTTTCAACTTTCCTACTCCTCAGATTGAATGGGGTTTCCTTTCACCCATGTTCTCATGTTTGTATTGTCACAAAGTACACTAAATCTCTAATTTAGCAGAGAGAATTGCTTCTCAGTACCTGGCATTCATGTATAGTAGTAGTTAGTTGCTCAATGAATATTTGATAAAACAGGATTCCAGTGGCTCATGCTTGGAATCCTAGCTACTCAGGAGGCTGAGAACTGAGGATTATGGTTTGAAACAAGCTGGGCAGGAAAATCTGTGAGACTCTTATCTTCAATTAACCACCAAAAGACCAAAAGGAGAGCTGTGGCTCAAGTGGTAGAATGCTAACCTTGAGCACAAAAGCTCCGGGACAGCAGCCAGACTCTTAAGTTCAAGCTCCAGGATGATAAATATTTGATCATGAATGAACCCTTTTAATATTAGGATTTAGTTATAGTTCAGGGAGGAGGTCTTGAAATATCTGGTTCTGAAAGAGGAAAATTCAAGTCATTGCAATTATGTTGCTAGCTGAGTACTTTCACATTGGATGACAGAACTGTCATATCTGGTGTTTCTTAGAACTACAGCAATTAAAGGCTACTTTAAAGGTTACTTTAAAAGTCCTCTTTTCTAGACTTGATGAAACATTACAGTTTCCAGCTTGTTCCAACAGTGACTTGAGAAATTATATTTGGCAAGCAAGTTAGTTCCAGAAATGTCAAACTTGCTGCTTAAAAACATGTCATCCCAACACGATGGTTATGTGTATATGTTGTATGTATAGTAGATATTATATATACACACATATACCCATATATATATATATATTCTCACACATATGCATGTAGCTCTGTGTATGTATAAAACACTCAGAAGTGTCTACACAGCTGAACTTGTGGATGGAAGGAAACCTGCTTAAGGACTGGGTCTTAGCTACACCCTGTAGTGACTCCAAAGAAATGGTAACATTAAGACATTGAGACTCTAATAAGCTCCACGGGAAGTCAAAAATGGAGCGCACTGCTCGGAATACTCCAGGAGTCCTATTCTTTCCAATCGCACACAGTCAGCTGGGCTCAAACCGCGGTGAGACACATCCCGAGCTGGCAAAGGCCACTGGACTAAGGCGTTCTTAGATTCTTCATACGCAGAACCGTTAGAACCTATTGATTCTTTTTGAATCATTCTCTGGAACCTTTTGATTCTTCCAGTTCTCAGCTCTAAGCCTTAAAACGCCACGCAGAAAAGCTGCTACAAAGATAGGGAGGTGGCTAGGCAAGAGTGCTCAGAGAAAAGGGGGAACAATTTAAGGAGAGAAGCCATAAGGAAGAGACCAAGACAGTCTCTTTCGGGGAAGAGAGGAAGGAGGGGACTCACACAGCAAAGGAAGGGAAAGTGATCAAACCAGTCCAGGACCAGAGAAGGAAAGGCACGCCCCGGGGGGGCAGGGAGAAGGGGGGGGCGGGCAACAAAAAAAATCGATTGCTTTAAGGATAGCCCCGCCCCTTGTGGTGACGTAGGATCAAGGCCATCCATGATTGGCTATGGCTGGAGGGCGGGATGGGGTTGCTAGGAGCGGAGGGGATCCGGCGGGCCCCGGCCGCCGGGAGCGCGGAGCCGAGGGAGCGGAGCCGTGGAAGCGGCTCTGCTGGAAGATGGCGAGCTGCTGGGACGCTCGGCCGCCCTGGCGGCCAGGGCGCCTGTCTCTGTGCCTGCTGCTACTGCTGCCGTTGCTGCTGCTAAGCACGGCCCGGGGGGCGCACATCAAGAAGGCGGAGGCGACGACGACGACGACGGGCGCGGGCGCTGAGGCGGCCGAGGGCCAGTTCGACCGCTACTACCACGATGAGGAGCTGGGCAAGGCGCTGAGGGAGGCGGCGGCCGCGGGGCCGCCCGGCCTGGCGCGCCTCTTCAGCATCGGCCGCTCGGTGGAGGGCCGGCCGCTGTGGGTGCTGCGCCTGACGGCGGGCCTGGGACAGCCAGCCCCTGCCGGGGACGCGGGGCCGGACGCAGCGGGACTGGACGCCGCGGGGCCGCTGCTGCCCGGCCGGCCGCAGGTGAAGCTGGTGGGCAACATGCACGGCGACGAGACCGTGTCGCGCCAGGTGCTGGTCTACCTGGCCCGGGAGCTGGCGTCGGGCTACCGCCGCGGAGACCCGCGCCTGGTCCGCCTGCTCAACACCACCGACGTGTACTTGCTGCCCAGCCTCAACCCCGATGGTTTTGAGCGCGCTCGCGAAGGCGACTGCGGCCTCAGCGACGGCGGCAGCCAGACCGGGGTCAGCGGCCGCGACAACAGCCGTGGCCGCGACCTCAACCGCAGCTTCCCCGATCAGTTCAGCACCGGTGAAACCCCAACCCTGGACGACGTACCCGAGGTGCGCGCCCTCATCGACTGGATCGGCAGGAACAAGTGAGTGTCGCCTTGTCCCCGGTACCGCCGCCGCAAGGGCAAGAGGCCGGCTCCGACTCACAGTAGGTGCTCAAGCCGTGCCTGCCTGTCTGAGGGATGGGCAGAGTGAAGGTAGCCCAGAGACCATGGCCTGGGTGGCGTTGCCTTCTCCTCGGGCTAATGGTCAACAAGCATTGCCCAGAGGGGCTGTCATTTGTTCAGGACATGGCCGGAGGGGAGATCTTTCTAGCATTCTTGTCCCTATCTTTGAAGGATCAAGTATGTGAGGGATGGATGGGACTTTGAGGATCTGTTAGGTCTTGCTCACTCATTTTATAGGTAGCTGTCAATATGGTTATTACTAGAGGCACTCTGCTAAACACTTTCCGTGACTGCATTATCTCCTTTGAGGGTGGCCACAAACGGATGACATTCACATCTTGGTTTTGCATAGGGGAAATTGAGGTTCAGACTGGTTACCTAATTTATATGGTGAGGAGAGTAGCTAGCACTTGTCTTGGTGGTTCAATTCGTTGTAACTGCTCTTAAAAGACGGAGGGAAAGATTACAAACCAGAAATGGCAAATGACACACCCCACTAGGGTGTTCCTCTTGATGTTTGACAGGAACTGGTTCTCTTCCAGCCTTTGCTTTTGACTCTGTTAAGGTGCATATGGACTTAACTCAAGAACTTGCCCAGACGTGAGAGCCACTTCATTTCTGATGTCAATTGTGCATCTTATTATTAGGCTTGGGCAGAGTAAGAGATTGCCACACATAAACCACACCCAGAGTGTTATTAAACATTGTGTGAGATCTAAATATTGAAAAAAAAATAGAAGCATGAGGATCTTTTTGTTGTTGGTGGTCCTGGGGCTTGAACTTTGGGCCTGAGCGCTGTCCCTCAGCTCTTCAGCTCAAGGCTAGTGCTCTACCACTTGAGCTACAGCGCCACTTCCACTTCCAGTTTTCTGGTGGTTTATTGGAGATAAGAGTTTCACGGACTTTCTTGCCCGGGCTGGCTTTGAACCTCGGTCCTTAGATCTCAGCCTCCTGAGTAGCTAGGATTACAGGTGTGAGCCACAGGCTCCTGGCAACAGTAGTTATCTTAACATCTTGAAGATTTTTTGAGTAACAGGGAAGATAAAGGTAATAATGAACAAAGAAGTTTCTCTAAGGAACATGGAATCATTTCTTCCATCAGACTTTATTCATAAATATAAGATCTACAAAATCCATGGGCCATTGTGACACTTCTAGATTGTTTTTGTCTTCTACCTTCCATTTTACTACTCTTTAGGACTTTTCTGAACTGATCTATTAACCACATGGTTTCCATAACTTAAGTGTTTAGTTTTTCTTTTTTGCTGCGGGGAGGGGGGGGGGGTGGGGGTGGGGGGGTGGGAGGGGGGGGGGACTGTGTACTCAGGTTTGAACTTAGGGCTTTGTGTTTTCTAGGTAGATGCTCTACCACTTGAACCACTCCTGCAGACCTGCCTTCTGTGTTTAAAATGCCAATCGTAACCTCTGCAGGAATTTTTCTCTTCAGTATTAGTTATGCTGTGGCTATAAAAGGAGAAAATTTTGGTGTAAATCACTTAAGGGAGGCCTTAAATTTAAATCTGGTATCAAAAATTCACTGTCTGCTTTATTCCCTCATATCACTATCACTTAGTAATGATGAATTATGCTCTGGTCTTAATTCAGTCATAGGAACTTGTGAAAATTTTCAAAGTTCATGTGGGTCAGTCGGTATTGCCTAGAAAGTTGTTTTGTTTTGTGGTAATGGGTAATCTAATAATACCCAAGCACTTTTTCAGGTACATTCTAATAAAAAAAAAAAGAAACAGGTAATTTCTATAGGTGAAGAGTGCATCCCTCCATACCCTCAATCTTCAAAATTAAAACATGGATTCTCTAGTGATTAATAACAAAGGACACTGTTTTGTAAATAAAATTAAGTGCACAGTACACACACAGTTTGAGATTGATGTCTAAGTAATAATTATGGATGGGATATTAAAAACAAGGCTGAGTCAGGTACTGGCAGCTCATGCCTGAAATCTACTCAGGAAGCTGAGATCTGAGGATCACAGGTCAAAGCCAGCTCAGGCAGGAAAATCCGTGAGACTCTTCTCCAATTAACCACCAGAAAACTGGAAGTGGAGCTGTGGCTCAAAGTGGTAAATTGCTTGCCTTGAGCAAAAATGCTGAGGAAATGTACCTAGGCCCTGAGTTCAAATCCTATAACCCACAAAATAACACAAAACAACAAAAACAATCCTACAACAAACAAAACAAAACCCCCAAACATTTAGTCCAATGAGAAAACTGACTTTATAGTGTATTCTGTAAAGAAAATCATTTGAGTAAATTGAGTAAATTTCTTTTTTTTTTTATTGTAACATACTGTACAGAGGGGTTACAATTACATGGGCAAGATAATGAGTACATTTCTTATCAAGCATTGCAGCCTCCTCCTTTGTTTACCCTTCACATCCCTTCCCAGCCTCCCCCCCCCCCCCCGTCCCCCCCCCCCCCCCCCCCCCCCCCCCGAGTAAATTTCTTTTTGAAATTGTTTTTTTTGGTCTGGGAAGGTAGCTCAGTGGTAGAGCGCTTGCCTTGCATGCCCGAGGCCCCTGGGTTCAATTCCTCAGCACCACATAAGCAAAAAGAAAAAAACTGGAAGTGGCGTTGTGGCTCAAGTGGTAGAGCACTAGCCTTGAGCTAAAGAGCTGAGGGACAGGGCCCAGGCCCAGAGTTCAGGCCCCACAACCGGACCCAAAAAAAACAAACAAACAAAAAACAGAAATTGTTCTTTTTATTTTGGGTATTTTGACACAGGGTCTCATTTTGTAGCCATGGTTGGCCTGGAACTTGCTACCAGGCTTAGGCTGGCTATAAACACAACATTCTCCTGCCTCTGTCTCCTAAGGGCTGAGATTATAGGTGTATAACACTATACTCAACTTCAGTAATTTTTGTGTGTGTGTGTGTGTGTGTGTGTGTGTGTATGTGTGTATGCTGGTCCTAGGGCTTGAACTGAGGGCCTGGACCCTGTCCCTGAGCTTATTTTGCTCAAAATTAGTACTCTACCACTTGCGCCACAGTTCTACTTCTGCTGTTTTGATAGTAAAATTGGCAATTAAGAGGCTTCCAACATCCTCAGGTCTTAGCCTCCTTGAGTAGCTACGGCTGCAGATGTAAACCGCCAGCGCCTGGCAATAATTTCTTAATATCTTACTCACCAGACTATGTACTAAAAATGAATTTTGCTAGGTATGCACCAGACTCTGTGTTCCATCCCCAGCATTGAAAAGAAAAAAATAGATTTTTGTTACTTCAGATATGTACGCTTCTAAGATTTATAGCCCTTGACTTTTCCAGTTAAACTGGCAGGCACTCTACCACTAACCTACACCCCTATTTCCAATCTTTTGGTATATTTATGATGAGTATTATCGTGTTGGAGGTGTGTAAGATTTTTTTTTTTTTGAGATCTAGTATATGTCTACAATTTTCTGAATCTTTGTAATTTTTAGCCATTCTTAATTTTTTTAAGTTATCTACAGAGTATTCTAGGAAACATGATAGAGTAAGGAAGATCTTAGGCTAAAGGCATGGCTCAAGTGATAGAGCACCTGCCTACCAAGTATAAATCCCAGTACTACCCCCTGTCTCCTGAGTAAGAATATAGAATATTAGTTATACTAAGGAAGGTTTTTTTGTTTTTTGTTTTAATCAGTCAAGGGTCTTGAACTCAGGGCGTGGGCACTGTCTCTAGGCTTTTCTGCTCAAGGCTAGTGGTTCTACCACTTTGAGCCAAAGCTCCACTTCCAGTTTCCTAGTGGTTAATTGGAGATAAGAGTCTCATGAACTTTCCTGCCTGGGCTGGTTTTGAGCCACGATCCTTGGATCTCAGCTTCCTGAGTAGTTAGAATTACATGCATGAGCCACCAGTACCCAGCAAATAAGAAAGATTTATTTGAACTCTACCACCAAATCAATAGTAGACTGCAAATAATTCACCAATCTGAAAAATATTTGCTCGGGACATTTTAATATTTCTAGGGAGGCATTATAAGAAATGTTGAACAAAATTAAAAACAGTATTTAGTAGAAAATCTTGGATTTTGAAGTTTAAAGACATAGAAAAGTAGTCTGCTTCATCTAGAATATTCATGGCTTTTTTTTTGTTGTTGCTGTTGTCATTGTTCATAATGTATTCTTAGAGCCTAGAACAGTGAACAGCACATAGTTGATATTAAAAAAGAGATATTGCTAAATGGAGTACCTGAATTTGGATCAGCCTTTTTGAAGCTTTCCCAAAGTCAGTGACACAAAAGGTACTTGAATTATTTTAAAACACAAGCCAGACAGTAAATTGTTAATAGCTGAACTATGGGGGAGAGGTAGGTAGAATTAGGAAGTTAGAAAGGGTATGTTGTGATTATTTCTGTGTCATTCTATCCATGTAGTTCTATCGCCTAAGAATGGGCAGCGGGTGTAGGAAATAGGATGACAGTGGGTATGGCCATGATTCTCTAGCATCCTGCTAGAGAAATGAGCATTTGTTGAGAAGGAGCTATAGAGTAGTCATTGTGCCTGAAGGTGTTTCATATATGTTATCTTAGTTTTTATAGCAAGTCTGGGAAACAGTAACATTAATCCCCATTTTACAGAGGGGAGAGGAACTGGAGTTTATTGAGTTTGGAGGTAATAACTTCTGATCTTGATCTTGGTACTGTTGAGCCATAGTTTTGGGAGACTGAATGTTCTCACCCATATTTTCCAGGCTTCAAGCACATACTATTGCCACTATACCAAATGGTATTCTCTGGTGTCCAGAAAGGTGTTAACTATAATTGTTTTAATTTTCAACAACAGTCATCATTGGCTAATTCTTCCTTGTGATGAATGAAGTCTATATTATAAGTAATTTTCATTGTTTGATCTCCTTTGGGCTGGTGCTGATGATGATGCTTAAAATAACATTTTGAATTAAGCATATGATTGATTTAATTTTCTTTCAAACATATAGAATGAAATACTACTTATCAATCCCCTTTAGAATTTTTGAGTTACTTTCAACCACAGAAGCTAGGCAGATGGAAGGAAAACTAGAATATAAAGAGAAAAGTATTTGATCTCTACTTTCAGTAATACATTGAACTGTTATATAAAGGAAAGATGCATAAATAGAATGTATGTTTTTATCTTTAAATTTTTACTACAAAAGGAATCCTTCCATATATCTACATTTACAAATTTGATCACATTATAAATTATTCACTTACAAGTAGAAACAGCTGAGCAACAATGGCTACATCTATAATTCTAGCTACTCAGGAGACTGAGTGAAGATCATAGTTCAAAGGCAGCCCAGGCATGAAAATCCATGAGACTCTTATTTCCAATTAACCACCAAAAAAACTGGAAGTGGAGCTGGGGATCAAGTTATAGAGCAGTAGCTCAGGAACAGCAAGGACTGTCAAAAAAAAAAAAAATAGAAGTATAGATCTGGGGTATAGCTCAGTGGTAGCTAGTGTGGGTAGCATGCAAGAGGCTTTGAGTCTGATTCCCAGTACATAGGCATGCACATACGTGGTCAGGTAAATATCATTTTGATGGTACTTTGATTTGAACTTGTGTCTTGTACTTATTAGACAGTCACTTTACCACTTGAGCCAGCCCTAGCTACATCTTTAATGCTAAAAAGTTCTTAAAATTCCTTGTGGTTAATTTGAAATGTAAAGACGCTTGATTTTTTTCCGTTATTAGGAATTGAACCAAGAGCTTGTTTTCTTTTTTTGTTGCTATTGGTATTAGTTAACTTGTAACAGCCGATAGAATTGTCTTCTAGGTCTGTAAGAGAGATATTTGAATTCATGTATGGGAATAGAGGCTTGAACTCGGTGGTAGAGCACTTGCCTAGCCGTGTGCCAGACCCTGGGCTTCACCCCAGCACTAAAGAAAAAGAAATAAAGATGATCTCATTTATGAAAGGTAGTGTAGAATTTTTAATACCCAATTTTAAGTACTTGATATTAAAATATGTCATTTGATTGTGTTTTCAAAGGTTTGTGCTTTCTGGAAACCTGCATGGTGGCTCCGTGGTAGCAAGCTATCCTTTTGATGATTCACCAGAACATAAGGCCACTGGAGTCTACAGCAAAACCTCAGATGATGAAGTCTTTAAGTACTTAGCAAAGGCTTATGCTTCAAACCACCCCATAATGAAAACTGGCGAGCCTCATTGCCCAGGAGATGAAGATGAAACTTTCAAAGATGGGATCACAAATGGTGCACATTGGTATGATGTGGAAGGTATGCAAAGCACTAAATTAGCTATACTTTCCTTCTTGTCTTTTGAAAATTTCAAGCCTACAGTAAAATGAAAAAAGATTAAACATTTACCTATCCATTATTTAAATTTCCTCATTGTTAGCGTACCACATACTCCTCACATCCATACACATATTTACCCCCTCCTAAACCATACACAAAATGTTTTGCCAAATTGTCCAAAATAGGCTGTAGATTTCATGACACTTTACCTTTAAGTTCCTTAACATATATTTCTAAGTACAAGGACATTCTTCAGTATAACCATATACTAATATCATAACTGAGGAATCAACAGTAATTCAGTACTACCATCTATCCATCTATCCACCAATCCATCCATCCATCATCCATCCATCCATCCATCCATCCATCCATCCTTCCATCCATCCATTCGTCATTGCTAGCTAGTTATCTGCCTGCTGTAACTCACATTTCCCCTCTTTTCTCAAAACATCCTCTGTAACTCCTTTTCTTCAAATCTAGGATCCAGGCATTATAATTTGACTCTGTTAAGAGTACAGACTAGTTGTCCTAAGAAACATTCCATATTGTGGATTTGATGTTTTATTTTTAATTTCTAATTCTGGGCTTGAACTCTAGACCTGGGCACTGTTCCTGGGCTCCTTTTGCTCAAGGCTAGCACTCTGCCACTTGAGCCACAGTGCCATTTCTGGCTTTTTTTGTGATTAATTGGAGATAATTTACTTTCCTACCTAGGCTGGCTTTAAACCATGATCCTCAGGTCTCAGTTTCTTGAGTAGCTAGAATTATAGGAGTGAGCCACCGATGCCCAGCTTGATACTTTTATATGTTAAGATTCAGGTCTAATTTTCTAGTAAGAACATTACATAGACTGCAACACAATCTTATCAGAAGATATAAAGCTATCTACACAAGTAGCTAGGTTGGGCTGCTTGGTTAATATGTTGATTGCCAACTAGATATCTCCTTTGTATATAAGACACATTTCCCTTTATATTTTAGTCTGTGGAGTGATCATGGAAAATTTTTTTTTCAGTATTAGGGTTGAACTCAGGGTCTCATGCCTATTAGACTGGTGCTTTACCAGTTGAGTCATGCCTCCAGCTTTGCTTTTTGCTGATTATTTTGGATATAGAGTCTAGTGAACTTTTCATCCTGGTCTCACTTTGAACTATGATCTGCCAGATTTCTGCCTCCTGAGTAGCTAGGATTAATGGCATTAAGTCATTGGTGTCCAGCATATGTGTAGGTGCGTATTATATATCTATACAATATATAAATATTATTTATATAAGTACATATGTATGTATTTATGTATATTATAATATGTATATCATATTACATATATAATATATATGATAATATGTACATTATATTATGTATGTATATTTTACATATGTATGTATGTATATATACATGTATATGTATATATATACATACATACTATATATATACATACTATATATATATATATATATATATATATATATATATATATATATATACATACATACTATACATACTATTGTTGTTGTCGTTGTTGTTGGTCCTAGGACTTGAACTCTGGGCCTGGGTACTGTCCCTCAGCTTTTCAGCTCAAGGCAAGCACTCTACCACTTGAGCCACAGTGCCACTTCCAGTTTTCTGAGTGGTTTATTGGAGATAAGAGTCTCATGGACTTTTCCTGCCCAGGCTGGCTTTGAACTGCAATCCTCAGATCTCAGCCTCCTGAGTAGCTAGGATTACAGACATGAGCTACTGGCACCTGGCTTGTATTTATATTTTTTAAGAAAACATTTGCTGTTTTAGTCGTTCTCCCTCCGAGTAGATCAAACTCACTTCAGGGGTTCTTGAAAGCTAGGCAAGAACTCTTATCACTGAGCTGCATTCTCAGTCAAACCATTTTAGCTATTTCGTGTGTGTGTGTGTGTGTGTGTGTGCACGCGCGCGCGTGCGCACCAGTTCTTGGGCTTGAACTTAGGGCCTGAGCACTGTTTCTGAGCTTTAAAGCTAGTGTTCTACTACTTTGAGCCAAAGCTCTACTTCCATTTTTCTGATTAATCTGAGATAAAGAGAGAATCTTTCAGACTTTCCTGCCCTGGCTGGCTTTGAATATAATCCTCAGATCTCAGCCTCCTGAATAGCTATGATTTCAGGTGTGAGCCACTAATGCCTGGCTAAAGTGCTATTTATTATTTTATTTTATTTTTTATTTTTTTGGTGCTTGTCCTGGGCTTGAACTCAGGGCCTAGGCACTATCTCTGCATTTTTATGCTCAAGGCTAATGCTCTACCACTTGAACCACAGCTCTACTTCCAGCTTTTTTGGTGTTTCTAATTGGAGATAAGAGTCTTATGGACATTTCTGCCTGCGCTAACTTTGAACTGCAGTACTCAGATCTCAGCCTCCTAAACAGCTACTATTACAGACATGAACCACCAGCATCTAGCTAAAATATTATTTTAAAAAGAATTCTTAAAGTAATCTTGAATTACTTATCTTTCCTTTTTAAATGTTATGAAAACAGCTATTGTTCTTTTAAACTTTTCAGTTTAAATAATAACTCTTTTAAAGTACAAACTTAGACTGTTAAGAATAAAACAAAAGCCGGCGCTGGTGGCTCACGCCTATAATACTAGCTACTGAGGAGGCTGATATCTGAGGATCACGGTTCAAAGCCAGCCCGGGCAGAAAAGCCCATGAGACTCTTATCTCCAATAAACCACTAGAAAACCGGAAGTGGTGTTGTGGCTCAAGTGGTAGAGCGCTTGCCTTGAGCTGAAGAGCACTGGGTTAGCGCCCAAGCCCAGAGTTCAAGCTCCATAACCGACCAAAAAAAAAAAAAAAAGGAATAAAACAAAAGAGGGTCAGGCAGGCTGAGATTTAAGGATCATAGTTTAAAGTCAGCCTGGGTATAAAATCTGTAAGACTCTCTTACCTCCAATTAACCAGCAAAGTGCCAGATTAGAAGTGTGGCTTATGTGGTAGAACATCAGCCTTGAGCAGAAGTGCAGGGCTCTTAATTTAAACCTTAATTCTGAAATATACACAAAAATAGAGACAAATCAGAAGGATCAAGGTTTGAAGCCATCTCTGACAAAAAGTTAGCACGATCTCATCTCAACCAATGAACCAGGTATTGCTGTCTGAGGCTACCTCCAGTCAAAAATGCAAATGCGGGGCTGGGAAGGTGGCTCAGTGGTAGAGCGCTTGCCTTGCAAGCCTGAGGCCCTGGGTTCGATTCCTCAGCACCATATAAGCAAAAAGAAAAAAGCCGGGAATGGTGCTGTGGCTCAAGTGGTAGAGCGCTAGGCTTGAGCTGAAGAGCTGAGGGACAGTGCCCAGGCCCAGAGTTCAGGCCCCATAACCAGACCCCCCCCCCCAAAAAAAAATGCAAATGCCTAGCAAGCATGAGATTTTGATCAACTCCAATGTCTCCAATGCATAGTGACACACACCTATAATTCTAGCATTCAGGAGCCCATGACAAGAGAATCATAGTTTGAGGCCACCTGGGCTATATAGCTGGACTTTCAAAATTTAAAAAAAAAATCTTAAAATAAAAGCAGATCTTGTATATACATTTTTCTAATTTGGGGAGGGGAAGGGAAATAATAAAATGCTAAAACAAGGATATAGGTTGGCCCATTGTAACAATGAGATGTACAAGACACTATGTTGAAAACGAACTTTACAATTTTGCAAACTAGGGGGAGGAGAGGTGGAGAGGGAAGGGAATGGTAGAGGAAAAACGGAGGGGGTAACAGTGCTCAACACAAAATGTACTCATTACCTTACTCATGTAACTGTAACCCCTCTGTTTAGTATCTTTACAATTATATATATATGTACACACACACACATACACACACACACACACACACACACACACATATTAAGCAGAAGGAGCAAGTCAACCTATGGAAAAGTCATTAGTACAAACATTTTCTCTTAGAGTCTTTCTATAGCAAAATGCCTTTGGTCTTCCTTACCATATTTTTGGCAATGTAATGTTATCTTGTTGTGACTTGTCCTAAGAAATGTCTACCAATTTGTGCCTTTATTTAAACTTTTGAATTACTTTTTGACTTATGTCAAGTATATTAAAAATGAGTTCCAAGTTTGAGGATTTAGTAACTCCTAGATTTCCTGATCCTGTTCTAGATTCTGTCTTTGTTTCTTGCTCTAATCAAGCATTCATTTGGAATATTTAGAAGCCAAATTTCCCCATAACAGAGGTAATTTGAAAACCATTGCTTAAAAAATAATAATCTAGATAAGGGACATATTTTAATATATAAACTTTACATTTCAATCTGAATTGATAGTTTTGTGAGTCAGTTAAGTTACTTCATTAATTTGAGATGAAATTATTTAGATAGTAGGTTGGCAAATAAGGTACATTTTTGGAAAAAAATCTTAAAGGTTAGAAAATAATCCCTAATTGATCATTGAATGAAGAATAGAAATCTACTGATATATATATATATATATATATATATATATGTATACACACACACACACACATATATATGTATACACACACACACACACACACATAGTTCAAGTCATAGGACTTGAACTCTGGGCCTGGGCACTGTCCCTTGAGCTCTTCAGCTTAAGGTGAGAGCTCTACCACTTGAGCTACAGCATCACTTCTGGTCTTCTGGTGGTTGATTGGAGATAAGAATATCAGACTTTCCCTCCCAGGCTGGCTATGAATGATGATCCTCAGATCTCAGACTCCTGAGTATCTAGGATTACAGGCGTGAGCCACCAGCACCTGGCCAGAAATCTATTGTTTTCAAAATAAATATCCTGCCTTCACAGAAAATGAGAAGTACTCTAAGGCACAAAATATTTAAACCAGTTATTAGATTTTTATGATTCTTTAGACATATAAAGAAACTATTTTGTTACTTCTGTTTCTATTGTTTTTATGATGACCACTTTCTTGTTTTAGGCTAGAGAGTCAGGACTGTTTTATGTTATTTCTG